ATAAAACGGAAGATTGTTTCAGTTCAGATTTAGAGTATGTTTATATTTTACCTATTTATTGTGTCTTAATTCGTCTAACTGGTCACCAGCGTTTTATTGAAACATTCAGAAATTATTTCTTTAGCTGCGGTTTTGTAATCGCTGATCCCATATAAATATCTGTTTGTGTGAAATTGTTAGGTTGAGAGTTATGTGACACGAAAAGCTCTAGGATGAACCATGCACGGGAAAAAGGTTGTTAGGGAACCTGAGGTTTCTTGCATATTCCCATAAAAATGTCGTCCTACCACTCTTGATACTGATTGTTATTAAACGTTGTTGCTACATGAAACCAATAAATTCAGACGCTATGCAGGAGAAGTTTTAACGACCTTTAAACACGCGGGAGAACAGTTTTTAACAATTAACAAGCATTTGAATTTAATTACATATCAATCTTTATCTCAATGCTCATAAAAAAACACTTATATACGTTTGTTAAAACGCAAATTATGTTTTTTTTAAAATCATTTTTCAGAAATTTCATTAAAACCTTTTTTCAGCCAGTATTGAACTCGTGCATGAACCATTGAATCACGGTGTGAGGACTCAAACAGATAATTCATGGTTAACGCCTAACAAGAATTTATTTCTATTTCTAACCAGTACAAATGGATAAATGAATGCGCCAACAATCCATCCACTTCTTTCCTACTAGGATTCATTTTATTAGTTTATAAACTCCCATTTTTTTTATGTTTATTTACGGCCTGATTTTTGTATTACTCTTTTATTTCATAGATCGAACTTTTTGACGCTACCATTGGCGATTTTATCAAAATAAAATTATTTGAATGTTATTATATTTCTAGTGATTTCTGATCGGTTATAGTAACCCTAGAGATCCTACATTGTCGTGATTTTGATTGTTTGATAGCTTTGCATGAACGTTGTTTGGGTTATATGGAAACTAAAATCACATGCTTAAACATTTGGAGATTGTTTGTCACTAATTGTCTCAAAATACATTTCATAATTGAATGCTCACAAATAAAACGAATATGTCATGACGTATGTATTGGTTGAATTGCACTCCTTGTGTTGTTGTAGTACAAAGTTAATTACGAAGTAATTTTATATAATTCTTTTAATTGTTCACAAATGAATATATATTAAAAATTAAAGAAATAAATAAATTAATTAACTAATAAGTGTATGGTTTAAAAATAAAAATGTAAAAAATAAAAGTGCAACGATTTCATTTGCTGATAGTCCTAATTCAATAGCTTGTTGGCTGCCTCTACGACGCTTGCACGAGCTTATAAACATTTTCTTGTCATATTTCTGCAGAATAGTTCGAGAAATTTTTCCTTTTTTCAAATTACAATTTTAATTGTTGGATCTTTTTTTTCTTCGAATCAAACTGGTAGAACATGCAAAAAATTAATGAATCATGTAAAAGACAATACCTCAAAAACACAAACAAATAAAGTGTACGAAAAATGCACTTGAAAAACATAAAGAAGTATACAGTAGAACGAAAGAGGGAATAATAAATTAATGATCGTTTTCATAGAATAAGTAGGAATGTAAGAAATAAAACACCAAGAATTAATGATGAATAGGAAAATCAATGACTGTAGTGTTTTACTTGCTTTCTCTTGCATTATAGATCAAAACATTTTTCACATTTTCAAACGTTTTTCATATTTCTGACTTTCGAACTTTTCTGCAAAAGTTTGACAGAAAGAAGTATCGATCAGGTTTAAAATTTTTGACTATTCAGTATCATACCTGCATTATTAACTGTTTCAAACTGTTTCGACTTCAGTATGACTATGCAGTTGGTTGCTGCCAGAAAATTAACATTCTGAGTTGAAGTAGCTACTCTGTTTCGCACACATTATCATAACATAAAATAATTTTTGATAAAATTACAAAAATCATAAAAAATAAAATGATCTTTTGCGTATATATATATATATATATATATATATATATATATATATATATATATATATATATATATATATATATATATATACCTTCCATGAATTTGATATTACTTATCAAAGGTTATCAATAAGTTTTACACGTCATAAGTACTTTTTCTTTGATTCCTGTTTCATGGAACATTTATTTTACTAATATCACAATGAGAAAAATTTTAATTTTGGAAGATAATTTTAATTGAAAATTTATATTTTTGAGATGATTGCAGTTAATTTTTTTTAATAACAATTTTTAAATAATAAATGAATAAATTAAAGTAGGAGAAAAAAGAAGAAAAATGAAGTGAACACGAATGTAGGCCAGTTGATGAAAAAGGAGCAACAAATTTATTTAGGTCCATCTTATAGGTTGGCGTAGATGCATATTACTAAATTATCATATAATTCGCAAATTTATATAGAAATAAATTTCCAAAAGATAATTTTGAAGTAATTCGGGAGGATGATGGTAACTATGATATTCTGTAAGAAGTTGAGGTAACGAGTTGGTTTAACTGTTTTTTATGAAGGACATTCAACGATTAAGAATTGCATGTAAATCTTACTGGCTAGCATGGCTTCCAACTATTGTAAGCATGAGCAATAAATTCATGATGTTATTCTGCCCGCGTTTTCCTGTGACCTAAAATTTTTTTATCCTTTTTTACCAACCATTTTTCAACTTTTTCAGTGTTTTTTGCAGCTTTTTTAAACTTTTAAAAATAAAAGAAGGCATTAGGACTTAAAATGACTCCCAATAAATCAAACTTTTTAACCTAAACTTACTCTCAGTTTTTCAATTTGAACATAAAATACGTTTGTCCAAAATGTCACAATACATTTTCTCCAGTCAACGTTTTGTTAGTAAGTATTTTTTTGGTTTTTTTTTGGTCTAAAGTTCATTATTTTTAAAGCTTTGCACTCAACTCATAGAATCGTCGTGTTACATCAAACAGTTCATCTGTCCCGTAATGAAAATGCTCAGTCACGATTGACTTTATGCTTTGCTACTGACAAAATCTTGAAAGATTTTTTTTATATTTTGAAGTGTTTAAAAATATATACAAAGTGCAACTTTATACTATTTTGAAAATTTCATATTTAATTACGATTGTACATACATTTATTTTTATGTGTTATTGTATTGCTGCAAAAAAATCTTTTTTTTTTTTTTATAAAGTGCATCGACTAAATAAGTTCAATTGCAAAAACTTCACCGAGACATTACGAATCATGATCAAGTAGACTTATTCATAAGAAATCAAATGAAGACATAAATATTTGAAAAAAGTGGAAAATAAATATATAAATAATAACATAAAAGATTGGAAATTTCAAAAAATGAAAAAAAAATTCAACAATTCAAAAAGTTTATTTTTTCAAAAAAATTGAAATGTTTGTTGCATAAAAAAAGTTGCTGATTTGATTTTACAAAATATTAACGTCAGTTTCGTTTTTGGAAGAGGAAGGGATTGGCTGGTGAGCTAAAGATTTGGGCAGGTTGAATGACGTGATGGAGTTATTGATATGCTTCTGCATTTTATCAAATTCCTCTGCTTTTGTACTATCAACATCGCTCCAATGTTTATAGAAATGATGCAGTTATTTATTTTTTCTTTGATATTTAGTTTGACTAGTAAACATTTGAAAATTGTAATAAATTTAGTCAGGCTAATAATTGTTGTAAATATAATCCCAAGTCCTAACCGATAGTTTTTATTTTTCATTTTATTATTTAAAATCAGAACATATAACATTTGATTCTAATTGCACTAAATAATTTTCCAAACAAAATATCACAACATTTTTACATCAATGTTACTGGAGAAGTGATAGACAAAAAGGGTGAATATGCATAAAGAGCCACTTGAATTATTGAAACTCTGATCGAATCACCTCATGAGAAACAAACAAATTGGACGGCGGCACACACATACTAGCATTGTGAAAGAAGCCCGAGATCAAGTGATTTAGAAATTTATTGTCGTTAACGCTTTGACGTTGCTCCATGATTTTGCATTTGGGCTTGACCTTTGTAATTGCTTTATGGCATGATTTGACGTCAAATACATCATGAAAATGAGCCAATCTCCACTGTAAATTGTACTCAGCAGTACAAAAATTATTCTGTTGGTCATTTTTTACGTTCTTTCGAACATTGCTTTTTTCGGAAAAGAATTTAAAATTTTGATTTTTGTTGTCAGTAAAACAACAAAAAATCTAACAGTTTTGTTTCATATCACTTCTCCACAATTGAATCGCAAAATCAGTTGTTTTGATTTTGTTTTCAAGCTTTTTATTATTTGTTCAATAAACTGGATATAGCTTCACAATTTTTCATCTTTTAGTAAATATTAAAAAAAATATTTTGCAAAGTTCAAAATTTTAAATTATTTTTCTTCTTCTCGTTTTTTCTTAACTCGTGTTAAACACTCTTTTGCCAAATCTGCTTTTGCTTTTTCTGGTCCTTTTCTATGGAACTCTCTACCTACATCTCTGACTACTTCTCCATCACTTGCGAAGTTCAGAGTGGATCTCAAGACCCATCTGTTTTCAAAATTCATTGAGGAGCGCTGTTGAACATCGCGGAAATAGCGCTTTATAAGCTAATTGATTGATTGATTTTAATATAAATTTAGCCTTTATAGTTTAAAAATTACAAAATTAAAAAGCAAAAAAAGTGTAATTTGGTCAGTTGAAAAAATTTGATAGATTTTCATCGAGTGTAATTGAATTAAGATAGAGCGTAAATTTTTCAACAGATGATACATAATTTTAGATAAGCGACAATTAAAATATACATCTTTAGGTTTGACAAAAGTTTAAATTAATATAACCACAAAACATCTCTAATCCGCAATTCTATAAAACGTTAACAAGTTTGATGGCGAATAAATATTAGTAATATTTATTATATTAATGGTTCTTGCAATTTAAGTTGCGTCTAAAAATGGCAAAACCAAATGGATTCAACATAAGAAACATAAAAGATGATGATTAAAAAATTGCAATTTTGTAAATGGCTCACCTATGTCTGAAAAATTGTTTTGTACTTTAGTTTTTGTTAAAAGAAAGTGATTATGATAATGCTGCTGATGAAGATGGTGATGTTGAAAAAAAAATTGAAATAAAAATTTTTAGAAATATAAAAACCTGTATCTACCTGAAAAAATGGTGGTTTTCATTTATTAATTGCATGTTTCTGCTTAACTTGAAACTTAGTGTCTGCGGAAAAATATCAGATTATTAATTAATTCAAGACGTTTTTTACTTTTAAAAACATTTTAAATATTATAAAATTAAATTTTTTCTCAGTCAGATAAACGATCGTGGCCACCAGAGAACCACATCTGTCAAAAATGATCATTCCAAAGTTTCAGAACATATAGAACTTAATCATAAAAATGGATGCAGTTTCTCTGCAACTTGCGTCTTCAAATCAAATGATGCCACTTTTTCTGCAGAGGAAAGAAAACCGACGAAAATGGGAAACGGAGCAGACGAGCTCCTAAACCGACCAATTTCAACTGATGTCTCCACTGGTAATCAGAATGAAAACTGCTCAAATAAAACAACAGTTAAAAAATCTGTAACTGTCCAGGAGTCATTGGAAGATGTTAAAACTAAAAGACAAGTATTTTGTTTTCGATAAAATCATGCTTATTTCCATTTGAACATATACAAAATGTTTTAATAAAATTAGGTAATTTTGGTAAGCGTTTTTATTACAACAGTTCACAATGAAAAAAGCTTTAACTAAAAAGTTTTTAATGTTATTTGAGTGTTTGAATACAAACGATGGGCTTAATTATTTTAAATGCTAATGATTGTAGGTTTTATTTTTTATACACTTGGTTAGCCAAAATTTTATGGATAAGAATAATGTTCATCATGCAAATTTTTTTCAACCGACAATCTTAATTATATTAAAAATTTTCACACAGGTCATCAAGATGTTGCTCATGGTGGTCATCCTTTTCACCATGTGTTGGTCACCTACTTTAATTGAATCCGTCTTAGCAGCTTTTGATATCGGCCATCGATTAAACTTTGGTCCCATCAAACACGCCCGCCAGGCGTTTGCTCTCCTATCCTATTTCAACAGTTGCCTCAATCCAATCGTCTATGGCTTCATGTTGAAAAACTTTCGAAACAGTTTCAAGATCATGATGTGTCATTCGCAGTGCTGCCAGAAACAATCCTGTTGTTGCAAGGCTGAAAGTGCGGGCGGCGATAGTATGAGATTCATTCACAACTCTTATCAGAACAATAATAAAACTTTTCAATTTTGTTACAATGCCAACAACAATACTAACATTAACAACAACAAGAACATTCCCACAATTAACAACAATACCGGCAACAACACTTCGACTCTTAACAACTCCTTCAAATCTAGTATTAAAGCGCACATTTCACTATAAACAGAAAATGACTCAAAAAAGACAATCACCCTACCGAGCTCTTTTTTCAACAAAACAATTTAATGCCACAATCACATGGCTTCTGAATATAGGATGCCTCTGCCTGGCAAGTTTGGATAAGACGAATGTTAAAATGACTACACAAAGAGCGATGATAAGAAATGCAATGATGATGACGATGATTATTTTGACAATTTCACAAAAAAATTAAGTTTTGTTGTAAAAAAAGGTCACTATCAGTAAAACTTTGTAACGTGTTGTGACGTAGTATTCTTTCTATATTATGATCATTATGGCAAGACTCTCAACATAATAAATAATGAAAACAGCTGTTAACCATTGTCAAATAATATAAAAATGACGGCCAGTGTATGATTCTGTCTTTTATTTAATTTTTTCAATACACTCAGTTATTTTAATTACCAATTTACTTGAACATTTCAAATCATTAGACGATGTTGCACCGATTTTTTAATCGGTGCAACATTAAACTTTTCAAACTATATACTTATATAAATACATAATGAAAGGTTTGTCTATCACAATGGCAATCAAATTATAATGTATTGGTGGAATATAACATTAGTTATAATGAAACAAATTGAAATGAAACAACATTTTAACAATCACCAAATATTTCAGACTCCTTACAACGTGACAAAAATAAATTCTCTGGTAAATGGTTTCAAGTTTTCAACTATTTCTTAGTTTTTTTTTTCTGTAATACTTTTACATATACACACACACATTGTAGTCTTTCCACATTTTGGTCCAAAATTTGTCTAGTAATTCAAAATTTGCGTTTCTCTTTCATGTGATTCTTTGTAGCGCCAGTTTGTACGTGCATCGTGAGTCTTCTCTATAACTTGTCGTCGTCATACCAATATATACAGAATTATGGTGCCCACACTCACCAATATGACATATAAACAAATATATTAGATGGCTATGATCCATTATCAATTCTGGTTTACTGGTGCAGTTGTTTTTCATTAAAAGAGATCAAGTTCTTTGGTTGGAGTAGGATATTCGTAGTTTAATCTTATCGTTTTTGTTGATTGCTTAAACGTAAGTGAAGAAAAGTCATTTGAGAAGGAGGTAGAAAGTTTCATAGAAAAGGGTCAAAAAAGCAAAAGCAGATTTAGCAAAAGAGTGTTTAATACGAGTAAAGAGAAGTGAGAACAAGAAAAAGATCGTGAACTGGCGCGTTTAAGTTCAATTAATGTATCTGATAAGTACTTAGGAAATAATTTAGATTGAGACTTATACATAAATGTGCTAATTTTAAGAAATATTCTAAATTTCAGAGGTAACCAGTGCAAGAAAACAAGATATGGAGATATATGAGGAAAGAAAGGAGCGCGAGCATTTAGACGAGCAGCAGAGTTAAAAGCTTTACTTAAAGGATAGAGAGCAGAATCAGGAAGACCAGAGTAAAGCGAGTTACAATAATGAATCCTAGATAAGACTAAGGAAGTAACAAGAAGATGAGTAGGATCGTCAAGAAAAGATCTAAGAAGAAAGAGACATGTTAAAATCAAAGATAAAGCCCAGACTACGAAACTTGTGAGAAACATCAAGAGTTTTAAAATCTGGTGAAATAATAGAAGGCATAGTAATAGAGTGTTTAGATCTAGATTTAGAAAAAATTAATTCAAATTAAGAATGATTAAGTTTAAGACACATAGAGTCAGACCAAGCGATAATTAAAAAAACACATAGAGATAGATTATGAAGAACACTGCTGAGATTAGATGGAGGAAAAGAAGTATAAATATAAAAAGAATATATAAAAGTAAAAATATTGAAACAAAGATTATGAAAGTGTTGGATAAAAGTAGCGATAACGATATTCAAACCTGCTTATATGGGCATGATATCAATGCTTCGACAAAAAGTTTGGTAAACCAAACTGATGTAAAATCTCTTGAAAAAAGTGACGAAGGTTTTATAAAAGTAAAACCTAAAAAACGTTGCCTCCAGTTGAGAACTATTTGCTGTCAAATGTTACAATTTGTTCTGAGGTATTTATTCACCAATTCAAAGTTATTCGCCAGCAAAGTTATCAAACAAAAGAAAATATTTCATGTCAGTAACGTTTCAAGTTGTATGGCTTCCGTTATCATAGAACATCACATAACGTTTAACATCGTAGCGATATCTTGTTATCCTACTTTTAAAAAGAGAACTAATGATGTTAAACATGACGATTCGCACCTATTCACATCATTTCGATTGTGTGTGGATGCTAAATTTTCGGAGATAACTTCAGCTCGTTTTTGACCAGACAACATTAGGGTCAGGGACTGGTCGTTCAACAACAACCAAGGCAAGTAAAAAAAAATTGAAATCCTTCTCGGACAGATGAAAAATTTTTGTTTTAACATTTAGAATCAACTTGCATTTTTTTGCCTGTTAATACTAAACAATTTTTGTTTTATAGATGCAAACTTACACTATATTTAGGTTTGTTATTTGTATAAAAGTAAAGCATCTTTTGAATATTCTTTTAAACTTAAACCTTTCCTGTCCATACCCGTCTACCATTTGTACAACAAATTTCGGCAAATGCAATTATGACAATTCAATTCACCTGAGACTAATGTATCTGAAAGATTTGAAAACGAGGTTGATAAAAAAAACTCTTACTATGGAATGCTTTTAACATGCGAAAATCTTTTTCGCGCAAAAACGTAAGTAGCATTTTGTGTGGATATGTGCAAATATCTTTTTGCATTACAACAGCACTTGAACAGAACCGAAACGAAACGCCACTTACCTACACTGATCTTTAGAGAGATTATAAACAACTGCAGGCGTATGAGATGCGTTTTAGCAGGTAGACATTCCTTAACTTAATGTTATGTTTAATTGTTATTGAAAGTTGTGATTTAAAGTTGCTTAAACTTTTAACGTCCAAAATGAGGAAAATTAATGTTACATTGGATAAGTTCATATTTTCTCCCAACATTTGCTAGTCACACTTTTCATTAAGGAGTTAACCGAGCAACCTACTATCAATGAAATTTTTTTCAATAGTTTGTATATAAAAAACTTATTGAAATGATCGTTTTTCATTGACTTACTTGAAGCGATGCAGTAGGTACTTTTTAATTTTTTGCAAAACAAGAAGTTGAGTTTACGGCTGCAAAACGCATGATTGACTAAATTTTTTCAAATTTTTTAAGTCGTGTTCGTTGGACTGCTATAAAAAAAAATGTCAAAGTAGCTGGTTTGTCACTAGTGCTGAAAACTAATTTTATTGTTTTTATTTTTGAAAAACATCAAAAACATCAAAAATAATTTAAACATCTGTGTGTGAACTTACCGATGCATCATGATTTGTTGCCATTCATCATGTGTCCATTTCTGTGTTGAATGTTAAGCTAGTTGCGACATTTGAATTTTAAGACACAACATGGAAGAGCTCAAAAATTGTTAAATAAATAAATAAATATAAATATAATAAATATAAATAAATAATGGGCTTAAACGTAAGTTATATATGCCCATATCAAAATAGCACTAAAAGACAACAAAAAGTAATCAAACAACAATGTCCATTTTATGATCATATAGAAATTCTTTGTTGGCCATATATAAATCAAAATTCTTCTTGAAGTTGGAAACAGTATCTGATTCAACAACGCATGTCGGTGAATTGTTCCAAATAGAGGTCACTCTGTTAGAAAACGAATACTTTCTTGTTAATATGTAATTTGATATAGAATTTTTTCATTTATATTTATTTCTGTGGTTATTTCTTGACAATGCATTTTAAAATCGATCTAATGTTGTAATTATGTGGAATCTGTTGAAACTTTCTCACAATTTTTTTCATTTTCTTCAGTTGCAAATTCTATTTTAGGATATCATGTTTTCATTGAAAAATATATCAATCTTAGAGTTTCCAAATATTTATATAAACAAGATTGATATATTTTAAGAATAAATAAAAAATATTTCTAAAGTGTTGACTAGCCCGTCAGGTATAGGAATTGAACTATAATACGTAAATTCACGTCGAAATGGAAGCATTTGTGTCATCAGAGACTCAGTCAAGGAATGCATTAGGGCAAAAGCCCCCATTATGAAAAATAAAATTAGGTTTAAAAATAAATTAAACTAGATTTCCATATAAATTTTCTGTGGCAATTGTTTTATCAGTTCAAGTTTGCTAAATACAAATAACATTTGGTTAGGTAATTCAAAAAATACATGTAGGGTAAGCTTGAAAAAATGAAAATTCATGCTCCTCTCGCAAAATATTTTGCTTGGCCCGTGGGAGTCATTAAAAAAACAGTTTGCAGTCATAAATGATGATTTCTTGTCCAAAACACAATGAATGACTTAATATTCCTCATGCTACTATTTTTAAGAAATAAATTTACATAAATAATGATGAATATATAATTGTTTATTGATGACGATTAAACTTTGTAATTATTCAACTGCACATTCATGTTTCAAAATTTAACATTTTCAACACTACTTAATAACATTTAAATTATAATTTAATGCAAGAATTGGTTGATGAAACATTGTAAGGTTTCGGTTATTCTTGAGACATATTCAAATTACTTTAGTGATAATTTCGTGACTTGTTACTGAAGTTATTATTTATTCAATGAACTATTCACAATGAAACCGCAAAAAATTGTTATCCATTTATTTATTTGTTTATTCAATCTTTAAAATATCAAACTCGCTCAAATGAATAAAAAGTTTAGAATGATAAAATCAATGAGTAAAAAATAAATATTTGAAATTATAAATATTATTAAGCAAAAATACATTAAACGTTTTAATTTTGTTGAAAGTTAATTTAACCAAAGTAAATTTAAGCCAGAAACATATATATATATATATAGAGTCTATATATTAATACTTTATATTCTATTATATATATATATATATTCTATATATCTGGCCCAACAAAATTGTTTTAAAAGTTGGTAAATCACACCTAAAATGATTTAAGAATCTGAAAAAAAACAAGT